ATCTCGGTTTTATTCTAATTTACTATCCTTCAATAAAAATCGAAATTTTTGCGAAAAAATAGCGCATTTACATGGTGTTTTTGCATTTCAAATCTTTTATAGAAGGAAAAGTCGTAGAATAAAAATTTTTTCGCCATTAAATCGGCCGTCACTCGAAGTATATGAAACACTATTTAAGTTACGAAAAAGTAAACTCACTGTTTTTTTCTAAATTTCCACTTGAATGCCCACTGTGGATAGTGGATGAACTTCGACCACAGTCCACATACCATTTATTGTTATTTCTTTCTCTTGTCTGTTAGTATTATCGTATGTTTCTTTTAATTTAACTATCGTCAGACGAACTATTTCATATGTTCCTTTATTACAATAACGCAATATAATTGTAATGTACAAATTATATGTAGAAATAACATCTCCCTTTATAGCTCTTTGTACATTTTTCTGATGATGAACTTAGACGGCTTGTATCTTTAAAAATGAAGATAAAAAGTATTAATAATTATATATAGTGTGTACTATACACTATACAGAGTCGCCTTTAACAATACAAAAACAAATGTTTTTTACCGATTTTTCCTCATTTCAAGTTCATCCAAAATTTTTTCGAATCCAGTCCAGTCCATACGGAGCTCGGCTACATAGTCTATTCTCTTTTCTCATAGTGAGTTTTTGGAATACCGGAAAGTCTATTATTTATTAAAAGTAGGAGTATTTAAAAACTAATAATAGAACTAGTTACGTCAATGAGTACGAAAGGTGCTAAATACTTGAAACATTATTATTATCAAATTTTGTAGCCCGTTATCGCCTGAATAACTTTTAATTAAAAAGAGAGAGAAATTTTGACCGATGAACATCTTCTCATAACAAGCAAGTCTGAAAAACTTTTGTAAGATATTGCGAGGATCATTGAAAATCTCGCGCGAATTTCCAACATTAGAAAGAAGCAATAACGCTAGCATGGGATGACCAATGGAAACCTTAAAAGATATTTCTATTTAGGCCCGTCTACCATTACATGACAGAATTTTTTGGCTCTCTTCGTTTTCACCCTTGTTTATCCATCACAAAAGTAAAAAATATCAATTACCGTTTTCCTGCTTTTGCTTACTCTGTTCTTAATTTTTTGTTGAGCTGAAATAGTTGTTTTTGTTATTAAAAAACTAAGAGCAACAGCGGCTGTTAGAAATGCTATTTGTAATTGAGCAAAAGATATACAAATGGTATTTCTACCAGCCGCTGTTACTATTAGTCTTTTACTAAAAATATTGCACCTACGAAAGCAAAATGTTATTTTTGTTATTAATTTGCAGTTTATCTTATTTTTAACTAAACTAATACAAAATTAGTTAAAAATACGTTGTAATGGTCAACGGATCTAAATAGAAACACCCTAAATATAACGGGAGTGCAGGCTGTATGTCCCGCTTAATCTCGTAACAATGTTTATTTTTAAAACCAATCGAAACTGTTTGAACTTTGAATTACACAATCATGCTAAAGTGGCTGAATAGAGTATTTTTTGGAATTCTGAAGTGTTTCAAACCGATTTTAAGTGATTTATGTGGTCGGTAGTCTATATATCACATGTATTCGAGGCGGCCTCCATTGGTTATCCTAAACCAAACCTGGAGTTCGATTTGCTTAAGGAGAACCCCATATATGGAGCTAAGTAAGAGCCCTTAAAATGAAATACTTGTGTAAACACGATGTAAAATATCACGAAAAACAACAAATAACCTCATATTATATCTTTTCATTAAGCAATAGACGAATACGGTTCCATTGATTATTATTAGTCACATCAATCATTTACTGCAGCATCATTAGATGTAGTATAATAATGGTATCCATCGTCTTCGTCTTCATTAGTTATCGGTTCATGCTCTTGTACATGACACGTGCCAAAAGAACAAAGCCCAATCCATACTGTCGATAAAATAACCAACGATTGAAACTGCATTCCTTCGTATATTTTCGATCCAATGATGCTAAAAAAATTCAAATATAACATAAATTCCACGCAGAGATTCTATAGAAAACATTTATAGTAGTAACGTATCGAGAATTGTAGGATGGCTGCGCATAAGTTTCTGATACACAAATAACTTACTCGCCAAGAGCTACACCAAAATTCACGCAAGATACCAGTAGTGCAAACAAAGTGCCTTCAAGATTTGGTGGACAAGAGCGAGCTGCAAGATTTAATATAGCCAAATTTGTAATTTCGGATGTCAAACCGGTTAGTATAGCGATGATGATACTTGATATTCGTCCATATAAAAATAAATAACTAATAAGTGCAAACATTTTTAATACAATAGCAATGCGAAGTGTTCGTTGTACTTTATTATGACTAAATAACGTAATATAGATGAGAGCAGATATACAACCACAACCATTATAAATCGTATTTAAAATCGATATAAAAAAGCTCGTAAATTTTAGATGATCACGTTGATAATAGAACAATGATGTTTTCTGTTGTGGACAACTGGAATAGATAAATAAAAATACTGTTAATATCCAAAATCGACGTTGTTTAAATGAATTTAATAGATGAGAAAATGTTTGTCGAAAATTATTTTTATTTAATTTTCGTCGACGTTCACGAATGGTGATAATCGTCGAAATAAATAACATTACGGGGCACACTGCTGAAATTAGAAAAATATATTTATTAGGAACAAGTCCAGGGGACGGTGACGTTGCTGATATTGTCATATTGTCAGTGCGTCCGGTATTTATTATCGTTGTTGCCGCCTTGGTAGTATTTCGAGGAGCAGATAGAAGACCGGCTGGTATTTGGGTAACGGTGGTGGCCAATTTTGCACTGGTTTGTTGAATTGCTTGAAATATGGCAACCATTGAATTTGTCCTACCGATGGAAATCATCAAGGCATCAACTAAATAAAAGATGGCATACTATGCGTTTTTTTTTTGTTGTATACCAGCTAGTATTGTCTTAATGGACTTCTGGGAACAAGTGTGGGTGTGTGTTCCAAGTAAAAGCGTGTAATCTAACAAAATCGATCGAAACAATTCCAAAATATCGTAAAGATAGTCTTCGTTATTATGTGTATAAGCCATCACTACGATCTGTTTTAAAATATAGCGAACTCCGATGTTTTTTAATAACTTTTGCACGACAAGAGCTAGAGACCTCCGGTTTTCAGTTTCTTAAAATAGACATCAGGGCATATATATCTATGATATAATGAAGCTTTCAGAACAGTTCTCCGTCTATCGTGGCTCGGGCACTACAAGTAATCTTCGGGACCTGCCTATTGGCTAAAACTGAACCTTGTGAATCTCAAAAACGCGTGGTACATAGCTTTCGAGCACACTAAATCTCGCGATGTTTGTTTTGTTGTCCGAATTAAAGAGAGTTCAAAAGATAAGTTTTTCAGAAAATTCAATTTTTTCGCCATGATCGTACTAATGAGGGAAGGTCCCAAGTGTTACTCTCACTTTTCAATGGAACATATCCTACTTTGTAGAGTTCGATGAGCTGATTACGATGGTATAAAGCATTTTCTCGCATGGTTCTTGAAGTCTAAAAAATAACCAAAACCATTCTTAACGAAGCATAATTGTAGCGCGCACATTTCTGAGTAAAATGAGACATCCACCAGCTCTACACGAACTTTCTTTGCAAAGTTATAGAATTTACAACATAAGCCCTATATTAATTTCTTATTTCTGTAGCTTTGAGCTGACATTAAATATTTAGGGCGGCGTATGTTATAAATTCTATAACTTTGCAAAGAAAGGTCGTGTAGAGCTGGTGGATGTCTCATTTTGCTCAGAAATGTGCGCGCTACAATTATGCTTCGTTAAGAATGGTTTTG